AAATAGTACAGCACTGTAACCTTTTTTTTAAAATTTTTTTTTTTTATATATTAAGCTTCTAAAGCATACCTCTTTTCTTTCGAAAAGAAATGCGTTCTTGTCCGATGAACCTACAAAGAATAAAAGTATGTCCAATATTATCCACAATCCTCTAATACTTGTAGCATAATATATTAAGTAATTCAACTAACAATCTCCTTTATGACAGTTTTCCTGATCCACTTCTTTCATTTTTTTTTGACTTCTTTCATAGTTTTTCACTACAGGTGCCTGAAACAAAAAAGAATGCCTGAGTGGTTAAAGTAAAAAAGCCTTTCATATATGTACTGTTTGGGTACTAAATATTAGAGAGAGTGATAAAAATAGGATATTTTTGTGCCACTATTGTTTTTTGACCCCAGTAACAGAAGTTTTGTGAAAAAAGTCTCGTATCAAAATTTTAAAACACGTGAGTAGGTTTTCCCGATCACTGGAATTTTAAAGTACGCTGGTCAGGATTTTAGCAATTATGGTCATCGTCAGGATTTAGCCACAAATCTTGACAGATCACCAGAATTTTTTTAGCATTTTGACTGAAAAATCTGATGATCGTCATAATTTTTGGTGCTTCAAAATTCTTGCGGTGAAAATTATAGTGATTGTCAGAATTTTTGGTGCTTCAATTTCTAACAAGTGTGTTCTAAAATTCTGACGCGTGACTATTTTTCAAAACTTTTCCTAGCAGGGTAAGAATATAAACAATGGTTTAAAAAATGTCCATCCAGCATCATTTCTAGTAAATATTAAGGACAAACTCAATTAGTGTCAATATTTGAAGTTTTATAAAAATTGACTTTTTGTTTCCAAATTAGTTTTATTTTACTTTTTTCAAATTTTATTATTTTTCTAACTAGTAAAGTGTTAATTACTTAAAAAGTTGATTTTGTAGAAAGTTAAAGAGTAGTTTAGACAGATATTCTTATGATTTAGCCTATTGAGTATTTTTTTTATAGGTATGCGAAAAACTTGAAAGAAAGATAACATATGGTTAACTAAATTGTTCCTAAATGGCCTTACACAGCATGAATTTAAATTAGTCCGGCCAACAGCGCCAAATACGAGATGGTTAAACTAAAAAAAAAGAAAAGAAAAACATAAATTGTGCTTGAGAAAGAAAAGAAAATCCAAACAGAAAAGTTGAAAATTGCCAATGTCAAAACTGTTAAAAAGGGTTAATATTGACCCATAGGTAAAGAAGACAAAAAGGTCCAGTCAGGAAACAACAGGTTGTCTGCAATATGAATAGGCACCACACATGTAGTGCATAGTTATGTGTCGTACTCATGATTAGTTCTATAGGGTTCTAACTTTTTATTTCAAGGCTGTGCCATGCATGGTTTTCATTTTCAATAAAATAGTTAAAAGAAAGAGAAAAAAAGAAGCGACAAAAAGGGTTAGGTGAATGGTTTCTCAAGTGAAGCTTGCTCAATTGATAAATTACCTCAGCCAATGATGTTTAGGTGCTGGATTCGAATTACGCTAGAGGAGAAGTGTGAAAACACTATAGATCCTCTTAAATTGAGAGGGATTTAAAAAAGAAAAAAAGAATGGTTTCCCACGTGGGAGACCTGTGATTGATTCTCCTCACTAACAGTTTCCTCAGTCAGAGCTCGTTGCACTGGGCTCAGAGGCGAACCTAGAGTTTTTACGCGACGGGAGCACATATTCTGTTCAACCAATGTCCCCTAAAGGATTTTAGTGTTCATGGTGCCAAGTGGTTTAAATTAACCATTTTCAAAGTGTATACATATATATAGTACAAGATTTCTGCCGAAGCTTACGGGCTCCACATATATATAGTACAAGATTTCTGCCGAAGCTTACGGGCTCCGATGTTCCCTCACTCTAACACATAGGTCCGCCTCTGACTAAGCTTGCATCGTGCAGTTTATATATTTTGTGTGGTTTACAGATTATTGCACAATGAATAGGTTATCCAGTGCGCACCCGAATGATAACAACAACTGTGGGTTTCCTGAGAATTTTTCAAAAAAAGAAAAAGGATATGTAGCTATTATAAATTAATAAGAGAGAGACAGAGGAGAGTAAATATGGATAAGATGTTCCTGCTGAAACCTGATTGATAAGTTGTTTTCTTAACCCCTTTCTCCACACATGCACAGCAAGAGAAAAGCCAGAGAAAAAGAGCCCTTTTTTAGGTGAGTTTTCCATCTGAGGATAGGAAAGTGTAAGTGCCAAACTCCAACCAGGAATAGAATAAAGCTAAGGGGAATAGAATAGTCAAGCAGTGGGATAGAAGGATTTCTTAATTGTTTGTGTGTCTGCATTTCAGACTGAAAAGAACAAGAGAAAAATGAGAAAGAGAGGAATAGGATTAGTCAATTCTGGGGCTCTGACTACATGGAGAGAACAAGAACACAGGGTTTTGAAGGGGTTTGGGGGGAGGGGGGAGGGTAATTACCCCAAAGGCACTTAGATGAGATAAAATGGTGATTTAATCAGAGAGTACTTTCCTTATTAGTTATTTTAAAAAGAATAAGATATTTTTATATTTGAGAATGATTTACTTTTAAACTTTTCAGTTTACCGTTAATAAGAAATTATTATAACCACATAAATATTGTGGCTTCACTAAGTTTTTTTAACCACACAATTATCTTGGTACAAATTTTAATAAAGAAATGAAGTTTAGAATTATGTGATTTTAAAGAAATCATAATATTTATATGACTATAAAACTTTTGAAACTTGTGATCTTAAACCTGTTAGAGTATTTGTGTGACTATAAATACTTTTCATTAAGAAAATATTAAAATGTGTCTAATGAAAAAATAGTGTCAATCTTTTTGTAACGGGGAGAGTAATGTGTAATATCAAAGCAAAGTCTAAGAACATCCCTACAACTCCAACCTAAACTGTAAAAGTCACGGTTTATACAAACTACACATGATCATCATTAGGGGCGTGCATAATTTGGTAAATACCAAATTACCATTTCGAAACCGAAAATTTTGGTATTTGATATTCAATATTTTGGTATTCGGTATGATATTTGGTTTAAGTTTTAAAAAATATTGGTATTAGATATAGTATTTGGTATTTTAAAATGAAATACCGATACCATACCGAAATATATACTATTATATTACACAATACACATATTATTAAATATAACATAAATATAAAAATCTAAAATTTTACTTTTCTTTATTTTCTAAGTTCATCAATTAACTCTAAGCAAGTAACAAGACATTTCTAATGATCAAATTTATATACAGTTTTCTCTCCGTGGGTTGATATTTGCTAGTTTTGGACAAAACTTTTATCAATAAATATTTTTAGTTTTGTACTTTTGAGTAATTTAATTTAGAATATTACAGTCTATGACTCTATGCACTAATTAGTATTCAAACGAATAAACCGACGTTACCAAACCGAAGTTACTGAAATCGAAAGGAGAAAAATTGAACCATACCGAATTTAATTAGGTACGGTATTGATATTGCATTTTAAGAAACCGAATATCAAAAATACCGAAGCGAAATATCTAAATACCGTACCGTACCGATCGACGAACACCCCAATCATCACTAGTTATACGTACCATATGGGATGAGGGTAGGGTGGGGGTGTTTGTGTTGGCATTGTCCAATAAATGCGAGTTCAGAAAAGTGAGGGGGGTTGAATGTGGGGTGTGGAGGGAGAATAAGTAGTAGTAGTAGTACAGTAATTGCTGAAACCAAAAAAGCATATCTTTTGAATATTTTGCATGAACAATAGAGAGAACAGTGATAGCAGAAGTATTATCAGAGGGACAACCCGAAATTAAATGCTTTTCTACCAATCCTTGGTGTATTGTGTCGGGATATCCCCCTACTTTTAAAACTGTCCCTTTCACTTCTTCATCTCCCTACTTCCCTTTGTTTTTTAGTATCTGTCTGTATGGAAATTTAAAATGGGTCCTCTTTGTATTAATTTGGACACAATACAATTACTTTTTTTGGTTTTTCATTTGATAATCGGTATCTGCATTGGAACTCGAATAAATTCAGATTCATGCCCTATAAGATCTATTAAAATGGGAAGTGTTCTTTACCGGCCAGGACTTTTTCCAGGGGAGGAGCTAGAAGCCGACGTATGTTTGGTAGAAGCCAATAACTTTAGTATAAATTTGGTATTAAATTGAATTCAGAACCCAATTACTAACACATGATATCTCTTTCTAGAATTTAAATTTGTATGCGGTTATATTTTGGATACCAGGTGAGAGAGACAAGGATATCCATGGGTTAGGATAAACCATAGAATTAACTATCCCACCTTATATATCAGTTAATCCCACTATTTTGGTATAAAATTTATTCTGCCACTGGCTAATACCCTTAACTAAACATAGTGTAATTACAATCTCATATTTTATACTAGGATTTGTATCTTTATCCCAATAACCAACTGACCAAATTTTAAATGCTAGATTCGCTTCGGAAAAGGTTCCTATTGTATATGCCAAAATCCGTCTCAGTACTTAGGGTAAAATAACACTGAGAAAAGAGTCAGCCGAGGTCGACCAGGAAATAGCGAGGCCCGTGGTCGAGATGCAAATGATGGTCAAGGTCAAGCACCGCAGAA